CTAAAGGATTAATTACTTTATTATTTGATAATTAAATTAAAGAATTTAATTAGTCAAATAAATGTAGTTATTAGTCCAAATGAAATATCATTATTTTTTTAAGCACGGACGATATAATTAATATTGTGAATAAATTAAAGTTTTCTATTTGGAATAGAAAATTAAATTATCTCTTGATTAATGATTAAGACTTATTTGGAAAAAACAATTTAGGATTGGATTGCCAATAAGTCTAAGGGAGGACATGAGGTTGATTCAAACCCATTAAGAATGGGATTGGTATTTTTTAATATAATATATTAATTGATACTTATATTCCAATTGGAATTGGATTTGAAATCGGATGCCAATTAGATGAAATTTCGAATTTCCATATAAAATATTCCATGAAGTTTACTTTTGGAATAAACTTTATGCTAAGTAAGTCATTACCTCAACCAAATAGGAAAAGAGTTTATAGGTGATGCTATATAAAGGGTAATTGAGAAAATTTGCGTGAGAAAAATTACGTTCCAAGAGAGAAAATACAATTACAAGAAAAAAAGTATTCCTTGTTTTTCTACCGTTGAATTGAGATTTTTGGGAAAAATTTCAGCACAAGTTTTTCAATCAATTTTTTTGCGTGTTTCATTGATCAAAGAGTTGATAGCAAGGGTCGGTCTCGGTGTGGATACGCATAGAGTCTTCACGCTATCGAAGAAATTTTGAAACGAGACTCTCTTCACCAGTTACGTCTTAGATCCGATCTTTGATATGTAAATAGTTTTAAACACGAAAAGATCTTCCTACGATTGTTATTATCTTCCGCTGCGTGTTATGAACATCTAAATGCAATCCTACACTCACTAACCACATAAACTTTTAGATGAGGTGGTCACGCAGTTTAACTATAATAAAATCAGATAGAGGCCTTGAGTTCAAATCTTAGCACCCCACACACACATTATATATCAAAAAGAATTTTCACATATTTTAGATGAGATAGTCACTGACAAAAAAGGAGATGAAATAGTTCATAAATGTTATAAAGAAACGAGACTGTAAAGAAGGAAATATTACCCTTCAGCAGCATGCCTGAGATCCCATCCAGATAAATTACCAACTTTATTGAGGGCAGTTTTCCAATATTGAATGGTTTGCTCTGATTGAGAACATGTTCTATGCCTTTCAAAGGCTTCAGCGAAAATTCCAGTTTGCTTGCGCACATCAGAAGGGTCGATATCATAGAATATAGGAAGAAGTAACCGTTTGGAATTCTTCTTGAGCTCAAGGATATGTAGAAGCTCATTAAGACACCTTCTAGATGAGGCATAGTTTTTGGAAAGAACAATAATAAAAATGATTGATCCTTCGATTGCATTCATCACTACTTCAGCTGAAACATCATCAGTTTTGAATGTGTTTATCCTAACTTGGCAAAGTTTTAAGTATAGTTGATCTACAAAGTTTTGTGAAGCATCACCACCTATACAACTCAAGAACACATCATATTTCCAAGGACCAAGTGCAAACGAAGGCTGAATATTAGATGATTGATCTTTGCCTTTCTGATCAGCCATGTACCCAAGTTGGAGTAAAGAAACTTATTCTGATACTGAGAGAAGTCTATAAGTATAAGTGATGACTTTAGTTTCTCATTCTTTTTAATAAGGATGATAGAGGAAAAGAACAACAGAACACTATCATCTTTGCCTTTAGAATCAAAGTAATACATATTCTTTCACATGGAGCATTAATAGTACATTTATTTTAACAAAGTGGTACATTTTTAGTCATAACACTGAAAAAAGCCCAAAAACATACATTATCTTTAACTTTAGACCCAAAGTCATACATATTCTTCCACATGGAGCACTAATAGTCCATTTACTTTAACAAAGTGGTGCACTGTTAGTCATAACACTAAACACATTTTATTTTTTAATAAAAATTTAAGATCTGACAAAATATTTGTTCCCTTTATTTTCTTATTTACCGAAAGAAATAAAGATGACATATTTATCTAGATAATAAATAATAAATATACATAGAATTTATTTACTATTTATCTATTTACTATATGTAAAATATACATTTTACTAAAAAATGTTAAACAGCGTTAATATTTATTTGCAATGATTTTTATCTAGATAACCTCAAATGGTATCTAGATTTTTTATTATATACATAATATTTACTATACGTTGACAGAAAATAAATATACGTAAAATCATTGCGGAGAGTAAAATAAATTTTATTACTAAAATAAATATATGTAATATATATATATTTATTAGATTTTTTTATTTTATGGGAGTCAGCGTATAGTAAACATAATATTTATTTTTATTTTATGTTAACGTATAGTAAATATTATGTGTATAATAAAAAATCTAGATAACATTTGAGGTTATCTGGATAAAAATTATTGCAAATAAAAATTAATGGTGTTTAACATTTCTTAGTAAAATATATATTTTACGTATAGTAAATAGATAAATAGTAAATAAATTCTATATATATTTACTATTTGCTATCTAGATAAATATGTCATCTTTATTTCTTTCGGTAAAAAAGAAAATAAAGGGAACAAATATTTTGTCAGATCTTAGATTTTTATTAAAAAAATAAAATGTGTTTAGTGTTATGACTAAAAGTGCACCACTTTGTTAAAGTAAATGGACTATTAGTGCTCCATGTGGAAGAATATGTATGACTTTGAGTCTAAAGTCAAAGATAATGTATATTTTTGGGCTTTTTTCAGTTTTATGACTAAAAATGCACCACTTTGTTAAAGTAAATGGACTATTAGTGCTCCATGTGGAAGAATATGTATGACTTTGAGTCTAAAGTCAAAGATAATGTATATTTTTGGGCTTTTTTCAGTTTTATGACTAAAAATGCACCACTTTGTTAAATTAAATGTACTATTAATGCTCCATGTGAAAGAATATGTATGATTTTGAATCTAAAGCAAAAGATCGTGTATGATTTTGGGCTTTTGCTAAGGATGATATTCAAATCAGTTCTTTCGTTCTTCCTTATTTTATGTCCCATCTTTCGTTCTTCCTTATTTTAATTGCTTTGTTATCTTCCTTTTAGTAGTGCTATATGACTAATTAGGTTGGTAAACTTGGTCTTTCGGGTTGATTAAACTAAGGAAGATGCTCCACTTTTTTAAAATGATTATTCTTGACTGAGTGGGAGACCTCAAGTCCTCAACTTTCTTTCCCTTTCCCCATATATATAATACTCCGTATGTGTTTGGAGTTGGAATTTGGAAAGACGAACATATACACTTTTGGCATTCAAAATTAGATCGTGATTTAGGCGGTTGTACTCAAAGCAGAGAAAGTTGTACCTTTTGGTCTTGACTACGCAAAAATTGCCTGCTTATTCTTAATTTCGCAAGGATCCCTGTAATCTTCACGTAAAAATGAGTTTGATGTTAACGTAATGAGTTGTTCTCTCACAACTCCACCACCACCGTGTTGCTCGTCTATCTCATTGGTAAATTGTAGTGAACTCAACCAACACCTTCTCCGCCCAAAGACTAACCCAGTTCCATTTTGCTCCATAGAAAAACCGACATGGGCATGTGTAGATGGGATGGATTGTGGCATTATGGCATGTGGTTTAGGTGCCAAGACATGATAAGACCATGTTATTGGCGTGGCCATGGCAAGGCAAAGGCAACATGCACCAAAAGCATAGCAAGGGATAGAAAAGCTAAGGCAAGGCAGGCAAATGGGCGCGATGGGCACAGACAAAGTAGTGTCATGGGCGTGCTGGGCATGCAGCACTAGCACATATGCGCGCAAGGTATGTTGCACACTAGCATGGCGCAAAATTGGCATGTTGGTGCCAAAAGTTGAAGGCAACGCCCGTGTACCACGCACATGCAGTTTCCTGATTTTCAACCGAGTTGGCTATGTTGGTTTGGGTGGTTGCCTTGTAATTTTTGAATTATTTTGAATTCCCTTGCACTTGGGGATGTCAAGTGCTAGTCTAGGATAAGGCAGCATATGCATGGCATGCGACAAGTCATGTGGCCCTATATATAGGCATTGACAGACTTGTCACAGGCAGTTTTTAGCTGTTTTTTGGCTAAACTTTTGTAAGGCTATGATTTATGTATTCTTTGTAGCACAGCATTATAAAAAGTTGGAAAGAGATTCTTGTATGTGCCTTGTCCAATTTCTATACGCCTTAAATATTCTAAGTGTCAAACCAAATGTAAAGGAAAATGAAGAGGGATGAGTCATTGTGTGTGATTGTCGTGCAATGTCAAACGAAAGAAAAATTGACCCAGTAACAACTGGTATCAGAGCAACGTTGTGAAAGATTTTGGAATAATCATGCCTGGTAATTCAGAACTTCGTAAAAGAATTCCGAAGTTGGAGGCGCGGGTCGGTATAACTGAAGACGCCCTGGATCTGGTTGTTATTTTGACACAGATCCATGGTGTTAACATGAACTTCAACACGTTCGTAAAAGTGTTGATACCCAAATGGTGGAATTGCAGGCTTTCCATGAAACTGCTGAAGGGCGGTTGGAAAAACTATAGAAGGAAAACGAGAAAATTAAGACGGAAATTCAGATCCTTCAACGGGCAATTGTAAATGTGCCCCGAGGAGGTGGAGAACACACCAAAATTAAGATTCATGAGCCAAAGGCATTTGATGGCGTGAGAGGTGCCAAAGAACTTGAAAACTTATTATGGGACTTAGAGCATTATTTCTCTACTGCTCACATTCTTAAGGACAAACCCACCATAGCGGTGTGATATTTTAGAGGGGATGCAATACTGTGGTGGCGTATGAAAAATACAGATGATAAAAATGTGGATAGACCCAAGGTTGATACATGGAAAAAACTTCGTGACGCTTTGAGGTACAAGTTCTTCCCCAACAACTCGTCTTGGGTTTCTCGGGATCGTTTAAAGTGGTTGAAACATATCGGTTCTATTTGGGACTATGTGAAGAATTTCACGTCCTTGTTGCTGGACATTCAAAGCATGTCTGATGAGTACAAGTTGCATAATTTTATTTTCGGAATACAAGGCTAGGCACAAAATGAAATTCATAGGCAGAAAATAAAAGATCTGCCTAATGCAATTACGGTAGTGGATACATTGGTGGATTTTTGCTCAACTAGTCTAACTTCTGATCCTACTCTTTCTTCAAAGTCTAAGAAAAAGGAGAAGAGTACGGACTTGAAGAAAGACAAACAGAAGCGAGATGAGAATGACAAAGGCAAAGGGAAGATGGACACTTCTTCATAAAAAACTAACAGGCCAACATGTGATGAAAAGGTTTGCTGGACATGCACAAAACTGTCTCAATGAAGCAAAAATAAATGCTCTTCTTGCCGAAGAGGAGAAATAAGGGAGGGGGCAAGAAGTCTTTTGAATTTAATAGGTTTCTAGATTTCTGGTTTCACGTAGTTAACTTTTCTTAAGTGTAGCTAAGACACACTTTTTCAAGTATTTGACCACTTTTTTCTGAGCAAGTAGTCACACACTAATGATAACGTGACGTGTGATATACAAAAACAATAACATATTCAGTATAATCTCACAATTGAGGTCTGGGGATGGTACTGTGTATGCAGACCTTACTCCTATCATGTGAAGGTGGAGAGGTTATTTCAGAAAACCCTCCATTCAAATACAAATAAAAAGATGCACTAACAACAAGCAGTAACATCAACAATATAATAAGATAACTGAAGCGAAAGAATAACATGTATAAATATAACTCCACGAATAAAAAAATACAAGACTAATAGTAATGCAACTGATATGGCAAAGAAATACAATCAACTGGTATGACGTGTGATTAACTTAAAAAAAAAAATGAGATTACAATTATATCTCTAGTTGTCATATCTTCCATTTTCTTCATCTTTCCCAAGCTATACCACCATGGCTGCCAAAAAGACCCACTACCTTATCATTGCCACATTCAAGTCCCACCACCCCAACCTTAAAGATTCACAATTAATCTTGGTCTTTTTTGCCACATTCAACACCCGGCAGTTCAAATCCACCATTATTCTTTATTTTTTTGCCACATTAAATATTCTAGTTGTGAAATAACAAAACTCAATCAAAATTTAAATCTGAAAAACACCTAATATTGAAAATAGTTGCCGATTTGAAGAATTTAAATCACGCATCATAACCAAAATCAATTGGCAGTGAGTGTTCTATTATTACAAGTGCGTTCAAACCAAAATATCATAAAAGCAGTAAATGTATAAATATTTCGAGCCCATAATTTTTTTGTGTTTAATTTTGTCGTTGTTGCTCAAGATAGTTAGATTAATTCTTCCCAAGATAAAACAAAAAACTATTGTGCAATAGCGGCAATTCAAATTAAATAACTTTGGTAAACTCAAATGACGGAGAAAATCACACGCAAAATATTTACGTTTTGCTTTTGAAAACGATGCAGAAATGCAAGAAAAAAAAGGGGAGAGTCTTTTTCATATTTTCAATGAATTAAGTGTATTGAAAATAAGGTCAAACCTCTGAATTTATAAGTAATGAAAGGTGAGATGAAGAAATGCAATCTGA